AATCCACTGTTTGTTAATTTTATCTTGTGCTTTTATTTTATTGTTCTTATTCTGCCATTGTTGTACTAAGTGTTTTATCATATTGTAAAGTGTCCTTGGGTGACTTGAAAGGCGCTCATAAATAAAATTTATTATTATTATTATTATTACCTCCTACAGAGCAGCCCGCGGGACACGGTCAAATGCGTTCGTCAAGTTCACATAACGCTGGTTGGGTAAACTCCCATGCACCCTTTAGTATCTTTGAGAGGACGAAGAGCTGGTCCAGGGTTCTACGACCGGGACGATAACCGCATTGTTCCTCCTGTATCTGAGGTTTGATTAACGAACAGCATCCTGACATAGACATTCCCGGGGAGGCTGAGGAGCGTGATGCCCCTATAGTTTGAGCACATCCTCCGGTACCCCTTCTAAAAGATGGGAACCACCACCTCAGTCTGCCAATCCAGAGGTACCATCCATGATCTCCAATCAAAATTATAGAGACTTGTCAACCAAGAAACCCTGCAACATCCAGAGCCTTCAGGAACTCAGGGTGAACTTCATCTACCCCAGGGGCCCTACCACCAAGTTTTAACTACTTCAGTGACCTCGCCAAAGGTGATCGGCGAGTTGTCCCCCTCATCCCCAGACTCTGCATCCTCTATGGAAGATGTACTACTGGGATTAAGAAAGTCCTCGAAGTTTTCCTTCCATCGCCTGACATCTTCAGTCAAAGTGAGCAGCGCTCCACCCACACTATACACAGTTCAGGTAGAGCACCGCTTTCCCCTCCTGAGTTCTAACAGTTTTCCAGAATCTCTTCAAGGGAGTCCGAAAGTCTTTTTCCATGGCCTCCCCGAATTCCTCCCACACCTGTGTTTTTGCTTCAGCCACTGTCTGAGCCATTTTTCACTTTGTGGACGGGTGGCTCTGCCAGTTGTCCCCAGCGCACTTTCACTATACATTTACGTGCCCCAGGTTAATCCAGCATCCTCCCCTGCCACCTCATCCAATTTACCATCAGTTGGTCATCAGTTGAAAGCTCAGCACCTCTATTCACATGTGTGTCTAGAAGATATAGCTGCAGAGGTGAATACATGATCACTAAACTGATCATCGACTTGTGGCCTAGGGTGTCCTGGTTCCACATGCACACCTGTGAAATGTGGCTTTATCTGTCCATTCTTGCCTTTGACTCTCCCTGCCTGTACATGTGTCTGCTGTTTACTCTACCCTGAGGGAATGCTCACATGTGAGAAGCTTCTACTGTGTGTTTACATGAAAGGCCTGCTTTGTAACTTGCACAGACAATCTCAGGAAGCACTTTGAGCGCTGGCTGCTGAAGGCTAAGGAGAAGAATATATTATGTGATCATTTCTGAGAGGCTACGGTACAAGAACAAGCTTTGAATGTGTTAAACAAATCTATTGTTTGGGTTTTTTCATCAAACTATCCACAGACTTGATGATTATGTTTTGAAGTCCTCGATGTGCAACTGTGCTGAATAATTCTGCTTTTAAACAGGAGCAGGGGGTATATAAAAAGTCATATTAAGCTTACATGAAAAAGGTCACGAGATCTACCAGCTCAGGTTTATTTGTTTCTCAGTTGGCTTGAATGTTTGATTAAATAACAGCTTGATATCCAGCTAGGACCACAGCTATAGGAAATTCTAACAAACACTCAGAGAGGAGATATATTTGACTTTTAAAAGAACATGTAGTACTGCAGTTACTGTTACAAGTTACAAGATTTGAGATTCATTTAACTGATTACGTTTTCACTAGAAATGTATTGCCTTGAGGTCAGGGTGACCTGTATCATTTGTTATTGTGTAATAATCTCATCAGGGTACCAGCAGTCTCAACTACTCTCATTTGTTGTTCTACTGGAATGAATTCCTTTAATTATTGCTAAATGTTCCTGAATTTGCCCACCACATCTACCAATTTAAATGTCAAAGGCAAATTCATTGTCATCACATTGGTTGTGTTGCGATCCAACTGTGATATTGCCACAGCCCCGTCACCATTTATACCACTACTAAATCTTTTCAAGTTTTTGCAGCATTTCCTTTTTATAAGCTTTCAATTTCTTAGGTTCTGCAGCAATATATCACTGAAACAGTGGAAAAACCTGGACAACTATCTTTAACCCAGCCGCTGAAAAACTGAGAGGTGCACAATCAGCTGAAACACCAAAGGGCAGCTCATAGCAGTGGATGCTACAATGGCATCAATGACATTTTGTTCCTAAACCTAAACTAAACTGGACACTAGGAAACACAGGCTCAAAACATGACGAGAGAAACACAAGACAAAGATGCGACGACGAGCAGGGGATGACAGAGGACTAAAATACATGACGGGGTAATCAGGAAACAGGAGACAGAAGGGAAACACAGCTGGTACTAATTACACAGACGAGACGGGGAACAGAGGCTGAACACAGAGCAGGACTGTCAAAATAAAACAGGAAGTACATAACAGACCAGAGACCTAGACTAGACACTGAACAGAGGGAACGCTGAGTACAGGGACATGAGCGACATGAGACACGACTGACTGGGGAACAAGAAGGCAAACACGAAGACATAACTAAACCTACACTAAACATGGGGGCACCAGAACGAAACCTAAGAACTGGAATTAAGAGAGCAAAGAAGGACTAGAGCGTTGGAAATACAAAACAGAAACCATGATGAAATCACAGATTAATAATAATAATAAAACAAATCAAAACATTTGGTTACTGACCCAGGACTGTGACAGTGTTTTACAGATAGCTGTAGACACTCGCTAGCTATGTCCCAATTCATAGGCCGCATGCTTCGGAGGCTGCATTTGAAGGCCGATCACGTCACAGCCAGGCGATGAAGGATGTCCCAATTCGAAGGCTGCTTCAAATGCAGCCGACAAATGTGTCCTTCATTTCCCAGAATTTGAAGGATGGGTCGGGTATATCCTTCGTGGACCAACCTATCCCAGAATTCATAGCGCGGCCCAGCCAATTCCAGTTTCCAACAATGGCGGCAGCTAGTTGGTTTTAGTATTACTCTTATTACTCTTTTTGGGTCACAAAATAAACTTTTCACATATTTTCAGGCGAGAATGGTAAACTTTGTGTGTAAACTTCAAATATCTGCTCTATTTATTAAGACATCACATATTTGCAAAAGTGCTTTGATGTCTGTTACCGATAGCTCGATAGCTAACCGGGTGGTCAAGGCTCATTAGAGCCAGCGAGAATAGTGAACTCTCGGCACATCGTTTTCAGACCCCGTGCTGTCTTTCACTACTCAGGTTAAACATGATATATACGTCACTTAGATAACTTAAAAATGTTACTGTTTGGCTTTTTTCAATGTTTTATTTATTCCTAAGTAAATCGGTTTGACTGAGATTAAAGTTATAGTTTTCACACAGCTGAATGAATATCAAACTGAAAACTGATTAAACAGAAGTGTGAGATGGTCGAGAATTTACTCCAGTGTCCTGTTATATTTTAGATAGCAAGGAGCAGACGGCTGAGTTTATTAAACTCCACCGAGACAGTGGCGATGCAAATCTGAAGGCTAGACTGTCCCATTTCACAGCTTCCGGCCTTCTCGGTCTTCAAGGGACCTGACCCATGAAGACTGCGAAGGCCGGGTCCTCCGACGGATTCGGCCTATGAATTGGGACAAAACTACTGTTACAACTCTCCCCTGACTTCCTCCTTACATACTGATGATCTTCACTCCTCAGACTTTTGTTCCTGTTTCACTTCCTTAAGAATGGCTTGGTGATCAGCCAACTTTCCACTGAGACACTTTTCTGATGAAACTTCAGTGAACAGTAGATGGATCACCTGAAGGCCTAGATGCATTTCTCGGGTCGGCTGTCGGGTCTTTCTTTTGGTGTTGCTTAAGGACATAACTTTCATATTTCAGTTCATCTGCTGTAATTTTTTAAGCGTGACATTTCTTTCAGCCTCCACTTGTCCGGTTTCCTCAAATTGTTTAAGGACACAGTACACACTATGTTGAGATAGGCAGAGTTTTCAGCTAATAGCTATTTGGGACTCACCTTCTTGGTGCATAAAAATGAAAACTATTTTATGCCTATTAAACTGTTACCTTTCATATTTTTCAAAGATTGAACTAAAGAATTGGGAACAAATGTGCTAAGTTATTCTTTGAGTTATGTGTCTTTCTATTGTTGAATGATTCTTAGGTCAGTGTTAAAAGGCTTAACAAATCATCAAACAAACAAAAAAATCAGGTACAAGAAAAGAAAATGAGTGACAAAACAGTCAATGTCAAAAGAAACACTTCTGAAAGACCTCTAGAAACCCCACAGAAATTTGAAATTTGCTCAAGACCACTTAAAAAATTACAAGAAAGTCTAGGAAGCAAAATATAAAGAAATGAGGGGTGGCTCAAATGTTTAGCACAATACTCTAGATAGTGGAATGACGTTTGATCTCAATATCTCATAACATGATGTAAACATGAGGTGTTTTTGAGTTGTGGAGGGAGGCAGTGGAATGTGAACCTTGTGGGCTACAGAGCTCGTTTGCATTTCTCGTCAGTGCCTTCTGATAAGGTATGTTTCTCATGTGTTTTCTCAGAGTCTTGCTGTGCTTTAAGCACCCAGGTGACAGATTATTCAGCGCTGTATGACAGAATGAGGCAATCAGTGACTTTATGGAGCATTAATCTGATGATGTGCTATGAATAGCCTGCCTCATTAATACGAGCAAACTACTTTGTTGTAAACTTCTGACACACTTTTTTTCTTTTTTGGAAAAACATTAAGTATCAGCTCTATAAAGAGTTCCACAGAAAGCCAAAGTTGTTGGTATCTATTGTAACAGGATGTTTCATATTTATCTTTTTTGATGCATCAAATATAGCATGTCTTCAGTATTTAAAAACAATATTCCAGTGTTTTTGTCATCTAACCAGCCAGTCACTTTCAGCCATTACTCATCAATTCTGCATCAGAGATAGCAGCTTTGATAAGACTGTGACTCACCTCCACTTCTATGCATTCGTTTAGTTTCTTGCAGGTGGCTGAAATGGTCTCAGTGGTGCCAAACTCAAAGTACCACAGCTTGTTCTTCATTCTGAGGAGTCAGAGGGGACACAGAGGACAGACATTTTCTTTTGGCAAACATATCAGATAATACTCCCACTTCACAAGTACTGTGTTTTGAGCCTACAGCACGATTTGTTCGGGTGCAGTGGACACATATTGAAGCTGTCTGCTGCCTTGAGTCATCTCACATTTTCTGACAGTTCAGGACAGCTTGTGGTCATGTGACCTTAGAGTTCAAAACTCCATCAATGCACCCTGAAGCTAGAATGGGGACAGTAGCATTGCCAGCATTTAATGCACAGAAAGTTGACCCCGCCATCTGTCAAACAGGCGTTCTGCTGTTCTCATCGAAACCATCCTGTGAGCTGCAACGTGAGCGTTGCCTCCGGAGGGGACATGGGGTGAAACATTGCTGGTGGTGGCTATAGTATCAGGGCAACCATTACTGTGATTCACAACATTCAAAGCAAACCTGACTGGGCCTGACTGAGCAAAGGTTCATTTCTGCCCTGCAGACGGATTTGTCAGAGGTGACCTGATGGATTTATTTATGTTCATATCTTCGTGTCATTCATTGCTGTTCTGTGACTGCATAGTGGCTGAATGATACGGTTTTCAGTCAAGGTGAAATATCTGCTTGATCAGTCTGGAAAGATGACCTCAAGTGCCCTTCACTGGTCCACAGGCAAAAACATCCTAATTTCATTCATTATTTCCTCTGGGGGTTTAATATGATCTGGTTACAAGGTGTGCTGTACAGGCGAGTCTGGTTCACCTTGCATAACATACCGTGAAATTAAAGGTAGCAAGAAGTTAGTTGCCTTCGTGATCACTGGGCAGTGTGGATCTTCTTCATACATGCTGTAGACGATCCACAGTATTACGGCACTAAATAGTCTGAAGAACTTTCAACCCTGTGAGTTCTAACAGTGTATTTATACTACTGAGTTAAATCTACAACATAGGTCTGTGCTAAACCCCAACCCCCCTGAAACCCTATACTGTTACCTAACATGTACTTCCCTAGAAATGTAACTACACATTGTGTCGACACAGCCCACAACTATTACGATTGGCCTGTTTAGTACTGTTGATTACTCCTGTACATTTGTAGATACTTTGTCTCTGCAGTTTTTCAATGGATTAGTGACAGAAGAATATATAATATAAGGATTCACAGATGTCAGCAAATTTCTGCAGGGAGATTGTCAAAACTATTGGAGTTGACCTGAGGGACTTTGCAAAGAGATGGAACAACTATGGTTGCCTCTGAAATAAAAATAAAGAAATTAACAGCAACAAACAGTAGAGACCCGAGAAGGGAAAAGTCTCAGCATTTTATTTGTTTCTATCATGGCTGGTACTGTATATAAAACATATACACCGGGATACCACCACAAGCATAAATGCTGGCAACAGCATCAAACACACACACAAGTTATATTTTAGCTCAGCTGAGATTCATGGCAGGAGTCTAAATCAGCAACCAGTCATCTGTGTTGACACTAAACCTACGCCATTAGAATACGTCATTTTGTTCTTTTTAAATTGTTCTTCATACTCAGGTGACCAACAAAAAATAATAATTCTGACAAACACAATCCCCCCCGCCAAAAAAAAGTGGGGATACTGTTAAGGATTGGGGCCTATCACTGGTCATGACTTGTCACGATCACTACGCGTGAAGTACTAAACAAGGGGTTCCTAGAGCTTCTAGCTTTAACATAGATGGAAGATAAAGGATGACCCTGCATATTTATGCAATCACTAAAAGTGGTGCATGTTTAATGAAATCACAGTAGGTACACTGGTATGTGGAAATATTGCTTATACTAATAACATAGTTATTGACGCAACAGCGTTGTATAATGGAGGTATGACAGCACCAAGGTTAGGTGCAATCCTAGCCCAACAAAATAGGACATTTCAAGCAGAAGCTCTTTAGAAAAGTCTCAAAATTTAACAGAGCAAAATAAGAGACAGAACAATACTGAACAGACTTCAGACACAGCATTAAAATCTGTAATTACTCTTCATGTTCTTTAAAAGGTAGCACGATTGTCTTCAGCTGATACACTTGTTCACATGTTTTTCTTGCTGCTAATTGTCTTTCTGTGTCTCGCTCTTTCTCTTTCACCTTAATTCCTCCCCAGAAACCTCTGCTGCTGTCAAATCAGGGGATTATGAGCATATTTGAGATCACAATTAGGAACAGTTGTGATTCTCAACGAGGCGAGCTGCCTAACCTCATTAAGCTGCTTCCACTTGAGACAGCCTGTAAAAAAATGCAATTAACTCATGTCCCCCTCCCCCCTTATGGACAGCGAGTGCAACAGGGAGGCAGACTACTTCCTTAAGCCTTTCCACCATTATTCCCATGTTTCTGCACTAAACCTAATGCAAAACTACAACAAAGGGGATCGTAAATAGTCTAAAAAATCTAACACTTTAATCTCTCATTATTAGTCTCCAGTTCAGCGTGTGCTGAGCCCTCAGTTGGCTTTCACAGCGTACTTGCAAAAAAGAGAAGTACTTATTAATTCTATTCAACTTTAACAAGTACTGTCTGGTTTTTAAGATGACACATCTCCTTCAGAGAAACCAAAAGATTCAAAGAGAGTGTGGCGAACAGAGATTGGTGGTGTAGTAAGGTACAAGGTGAAACTGTGCTGTTATGAAAACACAGTTCAGGTGCTTCACTACTTCAGTACTGCTCGGGGGCTCCAAAACCCTCACCAGTATACTGTGCCTTGGAGTTTCTTGCCCTTCCTGTCAGATAAACATCTCTTTAAATCACTAATATGAAAAATGACTTTATGACCCCACCACGTCTTTTCAATCCCTCCTCCTCTCTCATACCGGTTGTGAAATCAGAAGGATACGAGGTCAGGGAGTAAAACTAATTAGCAGAGAATGTGTCCTGACTTTGAAAATCAGTGCAGACAAAGCCCAGTGCAGTCAGTGGTATACAGACATATAGATACTCCAATTTCTATATAAAATGGAGTATCTATATACTAAATTGGTTTTCTGCAAGCAGAAATTAAACCCTGTTGGTCTTAAACAGTGTGAAAAATAGAATAGAATAGGCCTTTATTATCATTGTATATGTCTGAACAGAGAAAATGCAAAACAATGGAAAGACAATACTCGAGCTTGATAAAGTAAAGAACTGGGGCCTGTTCTTCGTACCTCGCTAAGTAAGTTAGCTGGATTAGATTGTTGACGATTTCGCGTGATCTTTGATCGTTCGGTTCCCCGAAGCTCATCCGGGACTTGCTGTCATAGCAACAGAGCCGTAAGCGTAAACCTGCTCGGGAGCAGGTTTACTTTATGTAAACAGGATTAGATCGCGGCCACGCAGGTATGTCCGCTTCATTTATACAAAAGCAACAGCGATATTTTACCACTGTTTCACCATAAATAAATAACATCAATGTAACTAAAGATAATGCAGCACTTGATCCTTTTATTGATGTCACACAGATACATACAGGTCATTCCCTAAAAAAGGGAAATGAACTATTAACATTCTATTACATGTATGTGATTATTACAGATGTAATTCATATTTCAGAGTAGTAATTGTAAATTACTTCGTGTAATCAAGATGAGAGACCACGGCTATAAAAGCGAAGGTGGATTTGGGAAGCCTGTCGCAGCCATGTCCTGTCCGTATACGCGAGCCACCCTTTGCGGAAGGTGCAAGATTGATAAGGAGAGTCCTCAGAATTCAGCGTATATTGCGGGACAGACAGGATCCTTTAGCTCAGCGCGACAGTGTGCTCATAGAGAGATATCGATTTTCCCGTGAGGGTATTATTTACTTAACCAACTTGTTGACGAGGGGGTGCAGGACCACCACCTGTCTTTTTTTCCTCTGCCCTTTTCTTGGTTGCTGTTATGAACAAACTAACAGAGTATTACAGGCCAGTATTACCTTGCCAAGAGACGCAAAGCAATCTAAGAGATAAATATTACCATTCTGTAGAATACTCCTGTATTCCACTTTTACTTGTTCCCATGTTCTTGTGGGTCCTGTTGTGGCTCTAATGTGAAAGGGGATATAATATAACATATTATAATATAATATAATGCCATATGATATTGGACAATATAGTGTCATATGATAGATCTACCCTACCGCCTACTGGTGTTGGCCAGAGGGGCCGATGGCGCGATATGGCAGCCTGGCTACAACCGTAGCTGCCTCCACCAGTGTGTGAATGTGGGAGTGAATGAATAGTGGTATCGTAAAGCGCTTTGGGTGCCTTGGAAAGCGCTATATAAATCCAATCCATTATTATTATTATTATTAAATTACCTACGAGTTTGATTTGTCAGCAACTTTCTGCCAGCCCTCTCTCCTTGCTTTTGCAGCCTTTGCAGTGTTCTCTTGCGTTTTAATTAAACTCTGAAACTCCTGAAATCCCTCACTCAAGAGTTCTTGCTCTGCTGCCGGAAAATACCGAGCACGCCCCTTCGACATTTTCGCCGACCAATCAGCGGGTTGCCGATCAATGTTTCTACTATCGATGCGTAGCCCCTTTTACGACACCCAGTGATGTCACATTCCTGCGTCCAGCTGTACTAATCGTCAACAGCAGGTGTGTTCGGGGAACCGGATTAGCGAGCTCACAGTTAGCGCGATGGTTTGGTCTTGGATGTGTCATTTGATCTTGGATGTAGTAAGCGACGTACGAAGAACAGGCCCCTGAAGGCTAACACAATGCTGGCTGCAGTGTTTTTAGACAGCTGGTAAGAAGTTGCTGATATCTGATCTCTGATAATCCAATCAGGCGATCGGTGACCTAAAGCTTCATTGACCCATTCTTTTAGCTCGACAAAGCAGCTTATGAAGAGAGCTAATTATAGCTACATATACAAGCATATCAGGTGAGAAAATAGGTATATTTTTGGTGAGATATACACTTACACTCATCATGGACATGAATGTCAAGTCAAGTGGCTTTTATTGTCATTTCAACCATGTACAGTGTGAAACGAGACACCGTTCCTCTGAGACCC